GGCAGGAAAGCTCAAGGACTTAAAATCCCTGATGATCAACATGGTATAAAGACAATTGTTATGAAATACGCAAACTCAATGAAGTTAAAAGTTGTTCAAGAACTTCAGCATTTATTTAATTAAAATTAAAAGGAGAAAGGTTTTTAATTTCTCATGAGTGGACTTCTAGTAAAATTAGAAGATATTTATGTCTTGATGTACATTGTTCAGACAAATAACACTATGGTCTTCGAATGATTAGAATAAAAAGTTTGTTGCTTTCAGAAAGAGCTGTTAATATTGTTATTGAAAAATTAAATGAATTTGGCTTGAATTTGATAATGATTTTTTTTGGATGTGTTACTGACGGTGCATCAGTAATGAAAAAAATAGGACGAGAAATGGGAGTTACACACCAACTTTGCTACTGCCATGGAGTTCATCTTGCTGTATGTGATATTCTTTATAAGAAAAAATGCTTAGAAATAGAAACAACTCAAGAAGAAATAATTAGTGATGAGAATGAAAATGAAACATCTGATTCCATCCCTGATGATGAAAACGACACTGAAGAATGCTGAAATGAGGAAAGTATTAGCTCTGTTTCACATGAAATCCAGTTTAATGAGCACTATGGCATTATCATATCGAAAGTTCGTAAAATAGTCAAACTTTTTAGAAAATCTCCACTTAAAAACAATTCCCTTCAAAATATTTGTAGAAGCAATTTAGGAGAATAACTTAAGCCTATTTTGGATACTAAAACAAGATGAAATTCTCTAATAAGTATGTTAAAACGATTTTTATATATATATCAGGCTTATATATATATATATATCAGGCTTGGTCGGGAAGCGGGAGCGATCGCTCTCGATTGCTGACCACGTAAATAATATTTAGTTGCGAAAAGCTGGCCAGATTTTTTATTTTTTTGAGAACATTTTAAAAAGCAAAAAAAAAAAAAAAAAAAAAAAAGCGACAAAGATTAATTGGACCGATGGGAGACAATTACAAAAAAAAAAAAAAAAAAAAAAAAAAAATTAGGAAAATAAAATATCTTTAAACACGAAAAAACTTAAAGCTAAATAAATTACATTTAGAACAAATATTTTCGAAACATCGCTCTTTTATAATTTTTTTTATAAAATTAATGTTTTTTATATAAAGTAATAACTTACGATTGTTTAAAAGGGAAACAAATATTCTTTATTTAACTAAGTTTGCAAATTTTACTTAAGCTAAATTATTTTATAAATAAAAAAGTTAATTTTTTTAATACCTATTTTATGTTTCGCGTAGTTTGAAAAGTTTAACATATTTGAAGCGATTCTTCTTAGTAAGATAAACAAATGAAATAATTAAATCATTGAATTACTATAGGAATTAAATTATCGAGATAGAAATCAACTAAAAAGGTTAAAAATACATAATGACCAGGAAGCGAAACTGCTTCACAATATCACTGATGATGTTTAGTGAGTGGGCTTTTTAATTTTAATTAGTATTTAAAGTATAAAGAGTTTTAAGAATGGCAACTTAAGCGAAAATAATTAGAGTTAGTAAAGCAATATCTAGAAACTTTTCTTTACATCTAATTATTTGCTACATATATTTGTGTTCTGTCGTGACCTCAGGCGCGATGCTTGTTCATCCGCGAGTTACTTTGTATGCGTTGTTTGTGTTTAGTAACCAGAAACTACTTATATGTTTGTTACATAATTAGTTTTATTAACTTTAACGATTATAACTTCATTGAAAACGCAATTATTTTTGTAAGACTTTGTTTAAATCATAAAAATTGCTTTAAAAAATACATTACGATAAAAAACAAATACACAAAACTACATTTACATAAAGAATACAATCTCTTTTAAAATAAAAAATAAGAATATACTAATAAAATCTATGATTTATAATAAACTTTTAAAATTTTAACAATTTAATCAATATATATTTAAAACATTTATTTTCGTAAATAAATAATACATATTCTTAAAACAATGCTAGAAATCTCAAAACGTAACAAATCGTGAATAATACAATTTCTAAAACATTTTAACAGAATACTCTAGAACTTTATTTTGCTTAATCAGCGTATTTTCTGAACCAATAGAATTAGTTTGTTTGTTAATTTGGCAGGTTTTTAGTGTTCGCAAATATTCTTTTTATTCTCTCGCACAGAGATGTTTTGAGAACATTCAAGTTTTTATGTTTCCATGTATGTCCGTAAAACAAATATTTTTTGTTTCGTACATAAACTTAAATGTTCTCAAAACGACTAAAAAACCTGGCCAGTTTTACGCAACTAAATATAATTTCCGTGGTCAGTATTCGATTGCGATCGCTCCCGTAATACAGAACCATTAAGAAAAAAACTAAAGCTGAAGAATTAGCAGAAATAATATCTAATACAACTTTAGTAGCAGGAAAAACTAAAGGGCTAACTTGTAAATCTTCCCCTCAAGAAGTTTTGACTTGCATTAAACGTGAAATTGCAGTACTCGAAAGCACTGGAAACAGGCCAAGTTCTTTAGAAAAGATTTATAATGCCATGCTAAGTCTTCCTCCGTCTTCTATAGAAGCAGAAAGAAGTTTTAGTGCAGCTGGTTTATCTGTTACTAATTTAAAAACTAGCTTAAATGATGACACTGTTAATAATTTATGTTTTTTAAGATCATATCTGACAAAAAGAGAAATAAAATCATAAAAAAATAAATTACTTTTTATTAAGTTGTAAACACATTTTTCCTAAAATTAATAGAAAATTAATCGATTAATTTTTCGAAATTTAATCGATTAATGTAAAGTACAGATTAATCCACCACCCCTAGAAGCCACACCTTCATTTTTTACCCAGCAGGTTACCCAAAATGGGTGAAACAATAAAATCCAAAAATATAAATGTTGAAATATTCTTAACTTATATATAAATATAAAAAATAAGATAATTTATTATTCTGCTTAAATATGCATACTTACGGCAAAGCAAGCAGATCAGTTTTGTAAACTCTAATATATTCATCTATTATAGCTGGTGACTCTTTAAAAAAGATTATACATTGCACAGAATATTCTTTTTAACTCCCACTTTTGGAATTTATTGCTGTCTGTAGGGCAGCATGAACAGTGTGCAAACTGCAACTGCGCATATTAACTATATCAGAATATTGTTTATCTTGTCTATGTTTATCTAAAATTTTTAGAACCTCTAAATTAACACGAGGACCATCCATTGATACTTGAATTAGTTTTCCAAGATCAAACATTTATGTTCCTTCAATGAGCTTGTCAAATAAATTCTGTGAATAAGGGCATCTGAGAAATTTAGAACCAATATATCTAGCTTTTACAGCACCAGAATTTGAATCCCAGTAACTCCACAGTCTATTTGTCCATTTTTAAAGGTTACATTCATACTCTCATCATATGACAAAACAAAGATGGGTGATGCTCTGACTTCAGATATAAGTTGCTCTCGATAGTATGGTGCTAAACCAAAATTTATGAGGTAACCACATTTTGCTTTGCTTAATGTTAACTGTGATGCTATTGTACTATCAGAGAACATAGATTTGAATATTTAATTTAAATTTAAGCACTAAATTTAAACTTAAAGAAAAATGTGACATTAAAACATTTAAGGTCTATATTATTTCTGTCTTGGTAACTAAAGCCAGAAATTGAAGATCTTCTATAGTAGGTTGTGCCAGTTTGGAAATGATAGTTCTGTGACTTGGGCATATGTATATGTATTATATAATTAACTGTTATATTTATTATTTGTATTTTTTATTTTCTAAATAATTAGTAGAATCAATAATACAAATTGTAAAATTAAAATATTTTCATCATTCCAGAAAATATATAATCAAACTATAAATTTTTTTAAAAATGAAAAAAAAATGGAATATTGAACTCTATAAAAATAGAGTTCAATTTTCCATTTCAATATTACTCAGATTTTTTGTAAAAAAGTTTTTCCAGGACTTTTTCAGAACCAATAAAATTCCAGGACTTTTCCAGGATTTCAAGGACAGCTGGCCACCCTGGATAAGGAATCTAATGGAATGTGGACTCTTTTTAACATTCATACATAATTTATTAGTTCTCAGCATTTAAAAACTTCACAATTGATTTATATAGAAAAAAAACAGTGTTTTTAAAAAAGAGTCCACGTGGAAATGGAAATTATAGCCTTTCTTCAATTAATAAAAAAGTATTAAACTATGTTTTCTTAAAAAAATAATACTTTAGAATTTTGTTAAAAATTTTGTACTACTATCATTTCCTTTGTGCATTGTTTGTTTTGGTTTTTTGACTTGATTTTTGATGTTTTTTTATTTTATTTTGGTGGAATTTCATGCCAAAATTTCCATACTTATAGAAAAGGCATTTTGTCAAAAAAATATCTGTTTTTCCAGCACAAAAAAAGCAATAACTTTGAATCCGATAAATTTCTATAGTTGAAAGACCCTTCATTTTTTAAGTCTTTTTAAGCTCTATAGAACTATGTTAACCATATATAAATATTTTGACAAAAAACAAATTCTCTGGAATGGTTGATAACAGTATAAAAAAAAAAGTTATGGTAGTCTTACAGTTAAACGGCCAAAAATAATTTCATTTTTTTGCTTGCTGCGCTCTCGTCACTGAAGACTTTTTAAAAATAAGTAATATTTATCAAAATATTAAAAGAAAAAAGATTGCTGCCCCATGCCGAACCCTCAGACGATGTAGCAGCATAGTCTTTAGTAGCACCAGGTCATAAGATTGCCGATATATACTGTAACTAATAAATACTCCTTACGTTTAAAAAGTCCCCACAGACGAGCGCAACAAGCAAAATACCTTTTCGCTTGTTGCGCTAATAATATAATAAATATTTATAATATACTTTTATGTATATTAAAAATATTTATTATACATTTAAAAATCGATTTATGTTTTATTAAATACCTGAAAAAATTTAAATCTAGTTTTTTTAAAAATATTCGACAAAATCAAGTTTATTTTTAACTTACATGCAATTTTATCTTCTTTACTCAGCTTATTCCAAGGACCTTTTTCTTTGGCTAAAAGAGCTTCACTAACTACACCAGTTCTTTCGAGTGAAGCTGGATTAGCAGGACAGTATCTAGTATCTGGGGCAATTGCATGGGCAACCGCACTAGCAGTTCTTCTGCCAATAACATTAGAAGTTCCAAACCTCACTCGTAGTAAAGATGCCATGAATTTTAAATTTACAAATGGCGACCTCTCAAAACCTCCTAAGCTAAACCTTTCGATTTTTATAGCGATGTTTGCGCATGAAGTTATCTTTTACTCGTTCAGTCAACTTAACTTTATTTTGAACCAATATTTGCAAGATTTTAATCCGGATATCAAAAAAAACTGTCCGCTATCGAACATTATACTCCGGAGTAATATATCCGGTTGTAGAGAAAGTTTTCCGACTTTTAAGTTTAAAAGCCGTTTTTCCATGGCGTATATTATAACAGGACTATTCACCTTGCGGATGACGTCAAAAACTATTTTTAAACCATATTTTCTGTTAAACGTCGAAGCTCTTGTTATTTATTTATTTAGTTAAAAATTAAAATTTTAAATAAACATGGGACGTAAATGCTGTGTCACAAATTGTAATGGAAATAATGATCAAAGTTCCAAAGAAAAAACTTTTCGTCTTCCTCGAATACCAGAAGAAAGAAAAAGGTGGTTGGCAGTTATACCAAGAGACAATAATGTATCTTGGTATAACTGGCTTTTTACAAACTGCGGTGTCTTTTTCATCTGGTATATTGCAATATACCAGATAAAAAAAACACTGTAGTTTTTGAAAAGGCACTAGCCTGTTGGATACATTTTAACAAAAGACTATGGTAAATAAAGACCTCATAATCCTCCAACTGTATTTACGTGTGTAAAACCAAGTTTAATACCTTCACCATCTTGTTGTCTTAGAACTACTTTAAGATCACATGCAGAATCTAGAAATGTTCAACCTGACGAATTGTCAGCTTTCAATTTGAAAGGTGTTATAAAATCATTTAATAATCTGAAAACTAACATAGAAAGCCACAACTTCAATGGATTTGATATATTATTTAACAATAAAACAGACAATCAAGTATTAATTCAATCATTAGAGTTCTTTCATAACCCCAGTGTGCCATTATTTTACTGTAAAATCAAATGTTTAATAAAAACACTCTCACAGAACAGAATTACCATATTAAATAGATGGTCGCATATTGTAGAAGCAGTTCGATTTTTAAATGCTGATGAGATAAGCAGTAAAAAAAAAAAATAATTTTGAGCAGTAACTATTTTCGATGAGTGATAAACTTGTCACAGATAAAAAATATTCTGTTGAAACAATGATTAGAGCTTTTGAATTTTTTGAAATGTCATGTGCTACATATAATCGTCTCAGAGAAGATTTTCAATTTCCTAGCATTAACATTGAAAAGACTAACATCAAAAGTAAAATCTGTATATGAAGATATATTTCTACAAAAATTGTTTTCAAACTTATCTGACATTAGACATTGAATTCTGCTATTAGACGAAGTTTATGTTAAAACTATGTTGCAGTACCATAGTGGAAAAGCAGTTAATAATCCAAATGTTCTTGCTAATACTGTTTTAAGTTTTATGGTAGTTACTTTGTTTGGTGGACCCAAATTTTTATGTAAAATGCTTCCAGTGCATAAAATCGATTCAAATTTTCTTTTTGAACAAATTAACTTTCTTCTATCTGACATAAAAGTAGCAGTTGGTAATGGTGTATGTATAGTTTGTGATGGTAACAGAGTAAATCAGGCCTTTTTAAAGAAATTTAAGACAGATTGTGTACCTTGGCGGACAAAAGATTACTTTTATCTTTTATATGATTTTGTGCACCTTTTAAAAAATATTCGCAATAATTGGATAACTAAAAAGACTCAGGAACTTGAATTTTTTGTCAATAAGGAAAATAAAGTTGCCTAATGGTCTCACATTGTAGGATTTCATAAATTAGAATCAAATTAAACGATTAAAATGTCTAAACTTACTGATGTTGCTGTATTCCCCAAACCAATTAAAAGAAAAAAAGTTTCAACTTGTCTGAAAGTATTTTGTGAAAAAACTGTCTGTGTCTTGAAATGTCATCTAGACTTGAAAAATGTTGATGATATTGTTTCATTTCTTTCAATACTAATTGAATTTTGGAGAATTGTTAATGTTCATAGCCCTTATGCAGATATACGTATGCGTGACCTAAACCGAGCTGCAATTTTTTCTTTTGATGATTTTAATCTTCAAAAGCTGTTAGAATTAGAAATCTTAGCTAAACAAATGTGCTCTTCTCAAAAAGTTCATTGTTAAAGTTTCACAAAAAGTATTTCTAAAAGTCTCTATCATACATGCAATTGTCTTGTTGAGTTATCAAAGTTTCTCTTGTCTACAACTCATAAATATGTTTTGTTTGGAACATTTACCACTGATCCTTTGAAAAACAGTTTGGGAAACTCAGGCAAGGATCAGGTGGTACATATTTTATTACTGTACAACAAATATTAGAGAAAGTTGGTATTATAAAGACAAAACTACTTTTGCAATTAGACAATAATGGTAATAGTCTTAATTTTACTACATCAGGGCATTCTTGTGAAAGATGTGGTCTTTACATGAAGAAAGAGAAATGTTTGTTATTTGATAACTTACCAGAATTAGAAAATATATTATCTATAGATGTTAAAGTGAGTCTGATTTATACAGCTGGGTATGTTGTCCGAAATGATGAAGATTCAGATGACTCATACTTTTATTATGAGAAATTCAGATATTTTACTGATGAAATCAATCATGGAGGATTAACTGTACCTGGTGATTTTGTATGTCAATGGGTTATTGTTATATTAAGTTTGGTGAAGTGGTTGATAACACATACATTTCATTTTTATGCAATCTAATGATGCTTATCATTGCAGAATCATATCAACTAAATACGAATAGAAAACATCGTGTTATACTTTCGAACATATTCTAATTAATAATTGTATTCACCAAGATCAGAAAAAGAACCAAAACAAAAAAAATTTGAAACTAAGTGTTAAATAACATTTTTATTTAACACTGAGTTTCGAAAAAAAATTCAACATAAAATACTGTTTCTGTTTTAAAAAATTTAAATAAGAATAATAAGATAAAAAATGATGGTGAAGGTATTCAACTTGGTTTTACTTGGTTTTTATGATTAGTAAAATAAATGATAATTTCTAAAAATTTATACATAAATTTTTAAAAATTTATGTATAAATTTATTTATAGATATATTTGTAAAAAAATCTATTTAGTATTTTTTTATTTATTATTTTCTTAATTGGAAATTAAATTTCTAGTTTAATTCATGTTATTTGTGTTTTTTCTGTTAAAAAAAACTCGCCTCTAGTTTATGACGTCATCCGCAATAGGCCTGAAAGTACGCCATGTGTTGTTCCACAAGACGAAGTTCGTGCGTAGCGAATTTTTTTGCTATAACGAAACCAAAGCCTGCCAACTCGACTAAAAATCCATATATTTATGTGTAATTGCCCCATGGCCTACTATTATTACATCTTGCTTTTCGAAGCGAAAAATTAGAAGGGTAACTTTTAGACTTTCTTAAGCGTCTTTTAAAATTGTTTATTTAATTATTCATAATATGATTAATACATGTGCTATAGTTTATTGTAAAACTGGATATAAAAAGAGAGAGAATCAAATTGATGTCATTCCTGAAAAGCATCCACTTTTTGGATTTCAGGAAAATAATCCTTACATTTAAACAGTGGGTAGCATTTGTCAATCGAAAGTTATGGAAGCCCAGTTAAGAATTCGGCTATTTGTGCTAAACATTTTGAAAAAAAATATTTAAAAATTGGCAAAAGACTAACATTAGTTTGGGATTTAAATCCCGTTCCAACTATTTATTGCTTAACTGAAAATATACCACCATCAGTATATCAATTTACTGAATTCTAAACGTATATTCCCTACTTTTCATTTTTATCAGCTTCATGATGTTATTGATGTACATGCTGGTGAAATATCGTGGAAGTTACTTCATGATGTATATGATAAATACCAATTACTTCAGTCAAATTTAAAAAATGGTTTCAAATTATTTTATAAATCACTTCATCCAGGAGATAGTAAACAAAGTGTACCACTTGCTCTTGCAATATTTGATCCTTCAACTTCTGCATCTATTGAACGTTATTTTCCAGATAGGACTGATGCCTCAAACTTTTTAAAGTTGATAAATATATGGTGGACAGAAAGCAAATATATAAACAACAATTTTTGTATTGGAAATGCAGCTGTTATGGGTGACATGAAACCTTTATTTTTGAGGAAACTAGCCAAATGGATTGAGAATTAGGAGTTATCTCAATTTTCAAACTCTCAAAAGTTTATATTAAGTAAATAAACATTAGAAGCGTGAAGGACCACTTTAAGATGCACAGCTTCACTTATTGATGATTTAATTCAAGAAGGGTATCATTATTTTTTAGTATCACGCTTGCAAACTGATCCATTAGAACTAAGATTTTCAAAGTATTGTCAAATGAGTGGTGGCAGATTTTTAATTGGTTTGCGTGAGCTTGAGACATCTGAGTGCATATTAGCTTTGAAAACTTTACTTAAAGAGTCAGTCAATATCTGGGAGGAAGATGTTAGAAAAGAGAGTTGTAATATATCTTTACTTAAAATATTTAATGATAAATTGCAAGAAATTTTACCAGATAAGAACGCAGTTTAGATTCAGAGAGCTTTGAAGTTGCTACAGTTATTTCTGGTTATGTTGTTAAAAAGTTTAATAAAAAGTTCAAATGTGGTGTTTGCTAAACTTTTCTATTAGCTGAATCTGGTGAGCTGCAATGTCAATATTTAGAAAAACTTTCTCGTGGTGGATTGATTTTACTAGCTATTGATCTTACACATTATGTTGCCAAAGCATTTGCAATATTAGATACTGGGTACTTAGATTAAATGATTGTGCTTTTTCATTCTTGTGTGATGAACATCAAATTATTGGTGTAAAATTTGTAAATCGTGTTGTTGTAATTTTGATGAAATTCGAAAGAACAGTGTATAGGATTTTAAATGCAGACAAAGAAAAAGATTAAAGCTGAATTAGTTAAGTATTAACTTAACTAATTGATTATTAAATCAATTAAGCTGAACTGAATTAAAGTAGCTAATGCTAAATTATACAGCTGAACTATTATACTTTTAATGTATACTCTTCCTTTATTGTTAGGTTTTTGTTTATCATTTTA